CAGTATTTTTCCGCTCGCCCACATGTGTCTCTAATGTCTATGCGGCTACAATATAATTACACCGTATTGCATTAAGTATAAGAAAAACAGTTTTCACGCAACAATGCTAAATCGAGCTTGACGCCTGCGTGAAGAAGTTGCCAAATTCTCGAAGCGACGATCGAAAGCAACGGGATCTCTCGAATCCTCTTGTCGCGCGCTGAAACGCGGCTCACTCCCAATTCGCGTCTAACGGGAGATCTAAATCGGCTGAATAATATAAATTGCAAAAAAAAAAAATCGGATCGCGAGTCTGATGTGACGACGCGGCGTGTCCGCAAGGTGACGACGTTGGCGCTCTCCTCTTCGTAACCTACATCCAGCCTCGCGATCTCCGCCGCGCAAATCCCGGTACGTCGACCGTCCGGCATCTGAAAGTATAATACACGCACGGTTGTGTTAGCTCGGCATTAACATACACCGCTGTCTAATAAGCAACGCAAATCGCGGGCACAGATCAGAATGCGGTGCCCTTGCGTTCGCGCGTTCGCGCGCGAACGATCTCTTCGCGTCTCGGACGAGGAGCCCGGGTGCTCTCTCTCTCCCCCCACCACCCATTCTCTCGCGTTTCGATAATTACACAATTGCGTAATGCGCGTCTAGCAGACCCCCCCCCCCCGCCCTACTCTCCTCCTGCGCGCATCAACAATGCTCCGCCAAGGTCCCGCTCTTTCGTGGAAAGTCCGCGGAGCGAGACGGCCTGGGAAATTAGCCGATAGCGCGAGGAGGGAGCCGACGCGTACTCGCGCTCTTTCGCAAGAAAGACCGGTATATATTTATCCCTCCCGATATCGTTATGATATCGCGTTAAATCGCCCGCGCGCGCGCAGCGGCACTCGCGCGCTAGAATTTCGCAAGACGCCCGAGTGTACGCTCGAGAATACACGCGTGCGAGTCTATATCGATCATATATCGTCTCCTTCAAGAAAAAAGACCCGCATGAAGATATAGACGCGCGTACTGCGTGTGTCTTCCGTTCTTTCCTTTTTACCGCCACTTATCGCGACCGTGTATCATTCGCGAGGACGTGATCGCACCGTCATGTATTACGTACGTCGAAAAAACAAAAAAATGTGTATGTAAGCCACAGAGAAATTTTCGACGCTATAAACCCGGTTATATTTACCGTATAGATACGCGTATAACGCTTTTATTGTATTTCCAAGGGGCGCCGCGCCGCGCCGGGCCCTCAAGACGCAAGATGCAGGCAATAGACTCGAGGCAATAAGGCTCGGGCTAGTAAAAACCGTCCATAAACTATTTTCTCCGATCTATCCGAGATAGCGGCGTGTATACTGTATATAGCGGCGGGAGAGAGACCAGATATCTGTGCTCTATAATGGCACCGCTTTTGTATATAGCGCGCGAGCGGAACATATGGCGGGGCGCTACACGTATACCTATAAGCCCTCGGTCCGAATATATATACACCCGGGGTGTGTGCCCCACCCACCTCATCGCATCCCCTCGGAAACCATACTTTTCGAAGCTCCGATCCCTCTCGCGAGGTAACCAACGGTCACGCTCGATTTGGCGGTTTCGTGTTCGTGCGATTTTCACGGGTCGCAGGTAAAAGCCGGCCGGATGGAGGATAATGATTTATCGGGCCCCGCCGATGGTGGTGGTGGTGGTGGTGGTGATGACGGTGTGGGAGCCCCCGGGGGGGCAGCGCATACGACTTCACCTCCACCACGGCGCGGCGGCACCACGGGGCTTTTTTCTTTTTGTTTTATTAAGGCCCGGGGTTCGGGGGCCCCGGCGCGGCGTCGCTGCGGCCTCTCTCGAGAGGAGAGAATCCATTACGCCGATCGCGCGCGCGCCTCCGCCGCCGCCTGGTCGGCCGATATCTCTCTCATTTTTGCAGCGTGTTGTAGCACGTCAAAACGATCGGGCCGCCTTCGATATATATATATGAGCGTGTGCTGTGTGCCAGATATCTCCCGCGAGAGACGTACTGCTCTGCCCGCAGGTTCGTGCTTCCTACCGGGTGTTACATAAATCGGATCTCTCGCGCGCGCGAGAAACGGCGCGCGGCGCGGCCGAATTTCGGTCGAATGACGACGTGTAATTCGTCCGGGGCCGAAATAATCAGCCTTGACGATCGGGGGACGATCGGGTCCGTTCGGCCGTATAGTTATCGGCCATTTAACCAATTAGAGATTACCATCTAGATATTTATACGGTCAATTGGGATAATTGCGATAGCGGAGGTAAACGAAGCACATCGCGATGAATATTATTTTTATCGTTCCAAGATATCCGCGTTACATCACTATATAAATCGAAGGCATATCATAAAGTTTCGTAATTATATGATATTATACGGATATTTAAAGACTCTTAAATATCTGTACATGAATTTAAAACGTTTGGAGAACTTCAATTTTGATACTTAAATATAAAATTTAACTTTTGATATATCTAAATGTAAAATTGAAAGTGTCTAAATAACAAAATTCTTACAATTAGATCGTGTAAGGCTTTCTCCAATTCGTGCTTTCCCTTTCTGTTCCCGAACTACATTTGAGGGGTTACATTTCAACGTCAGCTAGAAAGTGCTCTTTCAATTAATTCGCCGGAAACTTACGTCGTACGTACATACTACCTACGGTGTACCTATCTATTACCGAAGCCTATACACATCCGGGGAAGCGTCGACGACGCGACGGGAATCCGTCCGGGTCGGCCGTGAAAACCGAGGCGGCGCGGCGCGGGTATATATTCGCGGCCCGATATCCATTTGAAACTTTCTCACGTTCCGCGGCACAAATGACAATTCCGTGTTTCACGGCCACGCGACTAGGAAGCGACGGGCTGATTTACAAGAGCGGGTCCGGTCGTTGTTGTTTGTGCGTCAGTCGACGAGAGCGCGATCCTTGAGTTCGAGGCTCCGGTGGCCGCCCCGCGCCCCGTCCCTCGGTCTGTGCCCCATCATGCGCACCGGAGATCGGGGCCCCCCTTGAGCTTGACGACGAGAGTCGGCTCTTTTCCTTTCTCGCGACTCTTGCGTCGCGCACAACCCCGAAAAGGACAATACGCCGCGCGTACTCTTCCTCTTCCTCTTCCTTTCCCAGCGATAACGCACGTCGCACGCACGTGCGCGCGCGCGCGCGCTCCAAGCCGCGCTTGATCTATGTGGATCTCTATCTCTCTATAACCGCGTCGTCGTTGGCGATCACGATCGCGGAAGAGGGAGACACGCCGTTCGTCATTCCGTATGTTGATCGCGTTCGCGTATATCGGTGTTTTTCAATCAACGCGGTACGACGCGGTTGCGTCGTGTATTTTTCAAACGTTTCGCGGAGCGCGCAACGGAGAGGTATAGAGGAGATGAAACCGCTCCTCTGTATTATTCTAATTATCTAACAGTTCCAATTATTCTAATTGCTAGGTGAACTAATCTAACGGCGATGGATATGAGATTATCTAATTATATCTAAGAATAGAATTTTAAACAGTTGGAAAATGTTAACACAAACCGCTTTTTGCAGCCTTTTCTTTCCCGCTTTGCTTCCTCATTCTGTTCATGAAATGGAGGTAATGTTTAATTAGATTCCATTTCCGGATATTTAACTGGGACTAATCCAACTAATATTATATATTTAATTACACCGACAGTGTCGAGAATAAGAAATACATTCGGCTCGATGCTCCTCTCGCGGTATATTTTTACGAGCGAAAAAGACCATGTCCTTATTGAATCTTATCACAATTCTAAATCGAAAATTTACGCTCGCTGCGAACGCGAACAAAATTATTGCGTGCATCGCAACGCAACGGGCGCGGAGAGGCTCGAGGTTGAGAGAATTCCGGCGAATCAGGATTTTCGAAGCTCGAAAATCCGCTCTTCCAATCTGCGCACGCGGCGCAATTGCGAGCGCCGGAGAGCGTTCGGTGAGCGATTAGCGTGATACGGTCTTTACGCGGTTTGTCACGCAGGAGCGCTGTCGAGCTCACTATATGCGTGCGCGCGCGCGTGTGTACACACGGTGAAACGACGCGCATATAGCCCGGAGCGGTGCACAAGCACGCGATCGCGCTCGCCTCTCCGTCAAGTTCTCGCGAAGGCCACCGCACGTCGTGTAGCGAGTTGAGATGCGAGTGTGTCTCTCGGACTCGGCCTTGGTCACCCGCTTCCGTCAGCTGCGGGCTAATTGTGAATAACGTGTCGATACGCAGGCACGCACGCATGTGCATGTGCACGCACGCACGTATGCACGCACGCACGCACGGCCGAACCCCGGGGCCTCGATTCCGTGACAAGGAGCAGCAGAGCAGTGCCTTTCCGTGTCGCGCCCGTTTCTTTGTAGCGTAATGTCGGAAATTATGCCGAAACGGGAGCACAGCCGCTCGCTGCTTTATTACGGGTGTCGCGTATCTCTCCCAGGTTTTCATTTTACCTTCGTCCGTCTTCTTTTCGCGCGCACATTCAAGCTCTTCGACGTCCGCGATCGACGGGAGATCGATGGGAAAAAGAGAAAGAGAGAGAGAAAAAAAGAAAGATACATTCCAACCCGCATTCGTCGCATCCCACATTCAACGTGATCGAACGTTGTGGCCACGGGTTGGATTCCGGGTCGTGTCCGTCTAATGCGAAGATCGCGGTCAATTCGATGTATCACAGGCTGAGGATCGCGCGTGGTCAGATGTCGCATTAAAATATACGGATATCGATATATGACTCATGGGATTCTCTTTTGACATAGTAATATTTTTGGAAGAGCTTTGAGTCCCTGACTTGATCTAAGATGTAACTACGTCAACATTTATCGCGGCATATCGAATGCATACCTATTGTCCCATTGCCGACTGTGAAAGTTATTTTACGAGATTACCGATTGACATAGGAGAAAGAGCGCTAATTTCTTTAAAATCCTTTAAAATTCTCTAAAACGTTAATTGAATTAGTTGAGTAGACGAATTGATTAAACAAATGCCCGTTTCTGATTTCTCTGTTACAGACGAAGAAGAACAATCCTAACCGCATCAAGAGACCTATGAACGCGTTCATGGTCTGGTCGCAGATACAGCGCAAAGAGATCTGCCAGAATCAGCCGGATTTGCATAATGCCGAAATCAGTAAAAGACTAGGTAAAAGATGGAAGTTGCTATCGGAGTCGGAGAAAAAGGTCTATCGAGACGAAGCCGAGGTACTCAGGCAGTTCCATCAGAAGGAGTATCCAAATTACAAATACCGACCTAGGAAGAAGACCTCGAAACCTGCTGAGACCGCGAAGGCGAAAGAGAGGAAGAGACCGCGGAAATCGGTGTCTTTATCGTCGCTGTCGCCCTCCCCGTCGCCGTCGTCGTCGATGCTGTCGACGCCGTCGAACAGTCCGACCTCCCCGATGCTGGCCGGCTCGTCCCTGTCACCGCTGTCGCCGATCTCCGCGGCACCCGCTGCTAGTCACGCCGCCAGGACCAGAAATGATAACAATAACAATACCCAACAGCAGATGCTGAAGAAACCGATAAAAAGGCTCCACGCTCAGTCGAGCCACGTCAAATCGATGTCCAGGTCGCACGGCAAACCCATCGAGCTAACTCTGGCGACCCTGAAGTGCCTGGAGACCCAGGAAACGTCACGCCACAATCCGCTGCACTCCGATCTACCGGAGTTCCACGCGACGCCCCTGACAGCCGCCGCCAAGGTGCCCACCAGTCCGACCTGCGACACCCCCGACTCGCCCGAGTCCGCCTTCTACGAGGAGAGCTACAACGCCGAGAACGTTACGTCCAGCAGCAACGCGATCTGCAACGTCGCTCTCGCCGAGATCAAGCAAGAGCAGTTGGAGCCGAAGTTGGAGCCGAAGGTGGAACCCAAGTCGGAATTGGATCAGAGCTTCACCTCGGAGGACATGATCCTGGACCAGTCCATGGACCTGCCGCCGATGATGCGGACGGACAATCGCGGTTACTGCCACACGAATCTGAACGGCCCCGCCGTTCGGCAGATGCAGGCGAGTTTCAACGTGAAGCGGGAACCGTCGCAGCCCATGATGGTGAACGCCGTCGCCCCGACGACGATGCTCACGTCGCAGCTGCCCATCATGCCGTCCGTCCCCACGACGACGACGACGATGACGGGCACCACGGGAATCATCGTCGAGGACTCGCTCCTCGCGGACGAGAACCTCATCTCCAACATCGGCCACCCGGTGGAAGTCGAGGAGCTCATGGACAACTTCGTTTCCGTTATCGATAGCGACCTGGGGCAGGACATCATGCAGGATGAGATGATGTCCTGCGACATAAATGGGGAGGAGTTGGACTTCCCTCAGGTGATAGAGTTCAGTCGCAGCGATGAAATTATGTACTCCCTACTCGAACAAACTAACAACTGGAACGGGTCCTATTGAGAAGAGTCAAAAGAGAGAGAGAGAAAATATGAGGGGGGAGGAGGAAAATAAACAGAATGCGCATCATTGGTTTGTATGGAGCGTTTTTCACGTGTAGACGGATAATCGCGCTTACAAACAATTGCCCTCAGGATGTCGTGTTTACGCGGAGTATATTTCGTGAGCCGATCGATGTGAAGAGATCACGCCGGCCGTACGCGCCGGGCGTGATGCACGAAGATAATAATCGCGTATTAGGTATCACGATATCGCTGTCGATGCCTTTTAACACGGATCGCACGCTCGAGTTCGACTTCGAACGAATCATCATCCGCTATCGCGCGTCTTCGTCTTTTGTACTTGTTGCTAGAGTAGAGCACATGCTCTTCGAATGTATAAGCGGTTTTCGTTTCCGGCCGGCGCGCGTCGTGGCTCTCCGTGTTGCGTTTCTTTTTTTTTTTTTGTGTGTGTTGTCACGCGACCGAATCTTCGATGATCGGTCGATTGGATCAGAAAGACGGAGTGTATTTCCCTTTCGAGGGCAGGAAATACGATCGTTTGATTTGCAATTAGTTAATACGCGTAACATTCGCGGGTAACAAAAAATCCGCGATAATTAGCTATAAAAATGGATTCAAGAGACGGCATTACGTGGCCTTTATTGATTCTCTACTTTTCTTTTTGCAAACCCCCGGCTTCTTGCTCGATCGTTTCGTCGAGTACGAAATCGGGAAAGCCGATTCAGTCAGCGTCTAATAATAGATTTATTTAAAAGATTCTCGTTTTGCGTCGAAATCGATGCGATTTTGATTCTATTCCGAATATCAGCACGACGTATAAGATTAGACTTCGTTCAGTGAAACAGCTGGCGGATCATCTGCGCGCAGCATTGACCGACGTCAATTGAGAAAAAAAAGGACGAACGACAGCCACGACGACGCGTGACGGTTTCGGGATTTTTTTTCTTTTTGTACATGTACTTGTAGTATACTTTTGTATGAAGTTAGATAAGCGTCGGCGGGCGGTTTGGGTCCGCGTGGTTTTTGAAAATGACTTCGGAATGACGATCAATTCAATGATAAAGAAGATACGAGGAACGCGCGTTCACGAAGCAGGTATCCGCGCGCGACTTGCACAGCCGCCCGCTTTTTTGTTGTATATATCGAAACTGTAAGTAGAATATATAATATATACTCAAAGTATAAAGTATACCCAAAATCTCCAACGGTGATGCGAAGGACGCACGTATTTCGCGTGGCATCGGTGCTCTTTCCGAATCCGTTAAAATTATTTGAAAGTTAAAATTAAAGAATTGAAACTCTTATTTAATAATGTCAAAAATTCGGAAAATTTTTGAAAATTATTTATAAAAAAAAATATAAAGTATAGAAATATGTATATTATCAATACATTATTAATTAATTAAATAAAAATAAAATATATTTATATATTTAATGTGCTAAATTAAATTAAAATTTAATTAATTTTCAAATTTTCTCCTTTTTTTTTAATATTAAAATTAAAATACCATTAAATTAGATCAAGATACACTTTCTATTTCATTTTTTGATACAAGCTAGCTCATGCTTACTTGTGTCACTTTTTTACTTTTACTATTACGTTCAACGCAAATTTCTTGACGTTTTTATTAAATTGAGACGATATTAGAAGTCGAAAAGAAAGTTAGGATTTTATTTCCCCTTTTTATTTGTACTTGTCTTGATAAGCAGACAGAGAATGTGGAAACGTAATTAAAATGTAAAAAAAGGAGCTATTTTAGCTTACAGTTGCAAAGTTGTTTTCACCGATGTATCAGGCATGAAAACAAGAAACACGGTGTGCTAGTCGATTACTTTAAACGGACCTGTATATCTAAAGTCTGTGTTTCAACGGGATACGAAAAGGATGCGGGAAGAACATCGATTGGTATGACGTGCCTCCAGTACTTCAACGAAGATATATATTTATATATACACTATCGTTGGTAAGTTTCTGAACGTTCTGAAAGATAAAACACATTCTTGCGCAATTTGTTTTCAACAGCTTAATAATTTGGTTAATAGTTTTAACTGTAAAATGATGTAAAATGAGAGAAATTGCGCAAGAATATGTCTCATTTTAATTTTGACGTCGGTACCCGAGAACTTGTGAGCTTACAAAGCGATAGCGTACATATAGAGTATATATATATATATACATATGTAGATGTTGAAGAGCGAATAATGCGCGAGATATCGCTACGTCGACGACAGCCGTTGCGTCCCTCCCGCGAGGAACGGCAGAACCGATCGGCAGGAATCTCCGTCGCGCCGAGTGCTCCCTGAGACAGAATCACGAACTCCTCGTCGCCGGGGACGAACGAAAGAAATGATTCACACGGCCCCGGTCACGATCGATCGCACGTGAACACATCTCGTCGAGTTCGCCGAGCCGAGATGTCGAATACGCGGGTGTATCGCGGTCCGATCGACGTGACGCGAAGCGACGAGATTGTATACCTTTAGAGAATTTGCTCAGCTATAATTATTGCGTCGAGAAGTGATGATCTCCCCCTCCCCCCCCCCGAAAGAGATATCCCACGAAAGTTTTGCGTATCGGATGTCGCCGTTTTTTTCGCCGAAGTGTAATATCCTCGGCAGGAAAGGGCAAAAATATGGCAGAGGAGAGAAATTCGTCCTCGCGATCGGAGGGGGCTGTAGGTTTTCGCGGGTTTCGGGAGAGAAAGAAGCAAGAAATTGTCGAGTGGAGGCAAATGTATAGGGCGCGTCGCTTCGATCGGGAACGGGAACACGGGGGCACCCAGGGAGGGATAACGGCGCGAGCTGATGGAAGTTCTTCTCCGATCGTTCGCGCGCGATCACCCGATCGACCTACGCTAGATCCGTGCGGTTAAGATCCAGCGTCGGCGTCGGGCGGGCCGGAGAGATCGGAGCGAGTCCACGCTCGCGCGGCTATCCGCGCGATTACCGAGCCGATTATCGATATAAATATATATCAAACACTTGATCTCATAGACTCCATATTACATTTACGTTTGCGTAGCGGTTTATATTTTCGACGGTTGTTCGTAAAACGGTGATTATCGATAGTCGCACCGATACCAGCGAATTCACTACCAATTACGTTTCTCTTTTTTTTTTTCTTTCCTTCCTTACTTATCTTTCTACGTCTCTCCGTAAGAACGCGCTGCGCTTTGCGACGTAGCGGCTCTTATGTTACTATTATTATTACTATTTGTATTAACATTGTTATATATATATATATATGATTATTATTATTATTATTAATATTACTTTTATTGTAACTATTGTCATAATTATTATTTTTTATTATTACTGTCATTACCGCGGTTCTGTCGGATTATTATTACGGATATTACCATTATTATTCATATTGCCGTCAGTTGCGAAAGAGGGAAAGGATTCGGCGAACGGCTCCTTGATCAGCGCGAAAAGACGAGCGAGCGGCTCCGCGCGCACGCGACGTGCGCGCGGAGTACGCGATTCCTTAAATACTTGCGGGAAAAACGAGAAAAAAAAAGAGTTAATTTCTGATCGACGAGCCAACGAGTTGCTTCGTGCGAATTGCAGCTCAAAAATTCTGTTTATCTTACTTTCTTCTTCTTTCCTTTCTTTTTTTTTTTTTTAATCTCACCAACGGCGAAGGCGAGCGTCGCGACGCCGCGCCAATTAATTGCGCGTCGCAAACGGCGCGATCCTTCTGATTTTCTTTTCTGATTTTTGCCGTCGAGAAACGATCGAGAACCGGAAAGGCTCTCGTCGTTTTTCGGCGAACGGTGTGCTTGGAAAGGGAAGGGAAGAGAAGGGACTAAGGAAAGGAACCGGATGTAAAATAAAACTGAGGAAAAAAGAAAAGAGAATAAAATACAAAGAAAACACAGTGCCTATCACTCCGGTCTGGAAAACTCTCGTACAAAAATCATATACAGGGCCAAAAGGAACAAAGTATAATGTTAGTGTTGATAGCTATTTACACGAAAAAGCGCAATAAGAATTATTAACGATACAATTGCTCCGAAATTCTCGTCTCCTTTACTCAAGGCACGTCTCAGGTAGCTTCGGGTGATCGGAGGACCTCTCTCGGTCCTTCGGGCAAGAGACGGGCAAGAAAGATCGCAATATCGCGCGGGATTACGGTGAAGGAAACGAAAGGGCGAGCCGTTGCTCTGAGGAGCGCGAATAAATCTCACGAAATAAAAAATAAAAAAAAAATAATAATAATACAGGCTGTGTCGATTCTAAAGTTGTTGAAACGCTTCTTCGCGGACAGCACTACATATCAAGCCGCGTAAAAAAAAAAAAAAACGCCAAGCTCCTTGTTCACCGCTCGCAGCCGTGCGTTTAGCAGGAACGCGCTCTCGCGACACACGGTGCGCCGTCGCAATGCGTGTCAGCGCAACAGAGAACTGCCAGCAATACAATGCGCAATATCTTGCGCATCGAAGAAATAAATTACATGTCTCGATATAATTCAACGGGGATAAATAGATAAATAAATTTTTTTCGTTTCGTCGCGCGTACAACCGCAACATTGAATCTTAGCGTTTTTTTGGGAGGGGGGGGGTTATTTTTGATGACGCCGAGGCAACGAAATATTGAATCGCAACACCGCGACACGATCGTCCCTCACCTGTCTTTCGAGTGTTGAAATCGCGCTTGCGAGCATGGTTGCCCCAAGTTAAATTAAACTTTAAAGTTTAAAGTAGCAACGGACCTTTTAACCTTCGAACTCTTGCCGGAGCTCTTTAGAATTTAGGACTCGCGTCCGAAAGCGACGCGGGATGATTACGACGAGCGGGGGGGATAGGGAAAGGAGGGAGGACGAGAGGGAAGGAATATGAGTTCAGATATCGTAATTTACTCGAGCAATTTGCAGCCGAGTGCACACGACGACGAAGGGCACTTGTGCAAACAGCGAGGGCGATGAGCGAATGAGCACCGGGGAAAACTCAACTTCGGTACACCGGCCGAAGCGGAGCGCGCGCGCGAGCCACCTTTTAATCCGTT